ATACGGAGAGGACGGGCTACCCTACTGCATCTGACCCGCTAAATTAAGAGCGTCCAGGCCCGGTTGACTGTAGCTCACCTTCCTGGACACGTACGCTTCCGGATCAGCTCTTTCTTTGTGATATGCATGGTAATTCTCGTTCTTGAGGCGTGGATGAGGCATATGAACCATAACCTGATTGATTAGCTTTCAATGGATTCCTGCCCGATCGCAACATTGAAAGCCGTTCGAGTGCTTATTCTTTCAGTCGTAACTAAAAACTTTCAAGCGAGTGCTAGACGGATGGGAAAACAAGCCTTTTGACAGTGAGTCTTAAAGAATATAAGATGTAGGTAATAAAGTAACAGTCCTTGGGCCTCCGATGAAAAGGAGTGACAGAGTTGGAAAGCCTTCTTCTGGTGGATGAGCCCGAGCGAAACGGCCTATTCATCACCCGGGTTGGATATTAGGGACAAGAACAGATTAGCCACATTATGTTGAAGTGCGAAATATATGAAATGCTTCTTAGGAAAATTTGTGAAAAAGGTTCATTATTTGCAATGCCGGTTCAAAATCGTGGATTAAATTAAGAAACAAATCCACAAAATGTGGACAAACAAGTATTAATTCTCGCATAATTTTATAGAAATCAAGATTAAATAATCAATGTGTATCCTCCTTGAACCCGTAAAACCAAGTACGTTGATACAAATGAGGATAGGAGAGGGCAATGAGAAGAGAAGAGAAGAGAGGAGGTAAAGTAATTTAGTTGTTTTTAGCCCTCCCCTCCCTTTCTTTCACTAACTAAAAATTATAAACAAGCATAGTTTTGGGGTAGCTATGCTTATAAACCTCCCTTTCCTCGTCAACGTTCCTCTTTAAAAAAAACTATCCAAACTTACCATTAAGAATTGAACAAAATTTTTACATTTGAATCCGATTAAAAATGTTTAAAAGCCTATTTAACAATTCCTAATGAAGCTAACTCTACTCAATTTATCACATGTCATTACTTTATTCAGTCATTCAAATTGCTTCTCT